TTTTTTTTTTTTTTTTTTTGGCAGGGTTGAGCTGGTTAGTTTGAAGCGTGCTGGAAAATTGGAAGAGCTATGATATTATACTTAAAGGTTATCTAACAAGAATGCCAGGCATACCTCTAGTGACTCGAGAAACATCGTCGTAAGTTCTCTTCGATTTTTGTTTTGTTTGTTGTGTTTGGCTTAGCTGTATCTTTTTGGAGATGTCCAGTAAGGCCTTTCTAGGCTAGAAGTTGGTCCAAACTGCCACTTAATATTTTGCACCAGATAATTTGATCCAGGTGCTTTTGCAAAACTTTTTATCCTTACTTGTTCAGTAGTTTTATCTACAAATACTGTTTTGCGCGTAGATTTCTTTAATATTCACTGTAAAGTCCATAATTTAGCTGTTGTGTGAAACTGATTCCATGTATGACAATTTATTTATTTATTTATTTATTTTTCATCTGGCTTTTTACTTCTGGAATTTTGTGCTTATATAAGTTACTAAATTTGAATGCTTGTTTTCAATCCAGCTATTCAAGAAGCACAGATCAGATGTGCCGTGAAGATTCCCGTATCCATTTATCAGAAGAAGAGGAAATTGCTGCTGAAGAGAGCTTATCAATTTACTGCAAGCCTGTAGAACTCTATAACATTCTTCAGAGACGTGCTATAGGAAATGTAATGCATGTAGTTTACATTGTTTCACATTTTGTTCCATCACCTATTTTATTATTATTATTTTCTTTTTTTCTTTCTGCATGGACTGGAATTGCAGATGGTTACCATTTGCATTCTTTCTCTTATAGGAGATTTGAAAAATTGCATTGGCTTTGAATGGTTGGCATTGTATTATCCCATCCCTTCTTCTTTATTTCTCAATATGCATTGTGCTAAGTCCATCATTTATTAACATTACTATTTGTATTGTTTCCTTTATTTGCATTATATTCACTAGATGTTATTTTGTTGCAGCCCTCATTCCTGCAAAGATGTTTGCACTACAAAATTCAAGCAAAACACAAAATGAGGTAGTATCTTAAGACAATTTTAATATATTTCCGGATGATTATCTCTGTGAGTGCTTACTGTTGAACTCCTGTCTCTTCTATTATGTTGGATTAATGGGAGATTTAGAGAACTAGAGGGCCTTTATTTAGTGTTTGTTGGCTTATAAGATTCGAAGATGATGATAGGTTGATTTTCAGGAGAAACTCAGTCAAATATGCTTGTACAAAGTGAAACTACTGTCTACTAGCATAATCAGATATACATGATAGTACGTGTGCTTGTATTTTTTCTTTCTTGGATGGATGAGTAATTTCATTGTATGGTAGTTGTAAGTTATTCTGTTTACCCCATTAAGCCTAACAATGAGCCTTTTCTCTTTTAACAAACTTATAGGCTTTGTTTTATTTGAATTTCATGTGATTCTGTGTTTAGATGAGATTCTGATATCTTTGTAAGGTTTAGCTGCTTTTCTTTTCTTTGGTTAAATTTTCAATATCCAGATAAACTTAAAGTACTGATTATGTTTCTTTTGGTTAATATGTAGGATACAAATGACAGTGTCCTTGTCAGGGATCGTGAAGGAGGGTGTACAAAATCCATGTCTGTTTCCTTTGTATGTGTTGTTGGGAAGACTTGTTTCAGATGCAGCAGTTTTGGAGGTAAGAATGTTACTTTTTGTTACTTTATAAGCTAAATATATTTAAAAACATATATATTCTTGAGAACTACTCTGCCTTCTAAAAGGTTTTCTGCCATTCATTTTACTTCATTCATAATTCTTTTCCTTTTTTCTTTTGAATCCCGAAATGAAGTATTCTGCAGTATACCGCTTTCGGCGAGCATGTATCCTGACTAGTTTTGCTGGTGTTGAGGGGAGTTCTCAATCGCAAGCAACTTTTCTTCTCCCTGAGATAAATAAGCTAGCAATGGAGGTCAAGTCCAGCTCTCTTGCCATATTATTTATTAGCTTTGGTATGCACCGAAGTATTACTCTTTGATTGATGTCTAAAAGCTAATTTTTTGTTTTCATAACAAAATTTGGACTCATCATCATTTTGCTCCAGCTGGAACCCAAAATGCTTTGTGTGGAGTTGACTCAATTAGGGATCCAATGGGTATGACATCATTTCTATTATACATGTACCTCTTTTCCTTAGTGGTTTATACATGATTAGCTTCTCATTAACACCCACAATTGATAGTTATTTGCTTGTCTCATTGGAATTAATTGTTTGCAAGTCCAATATGATCTGAGATATTGCATACATTCTATCTAATTTACATATATTAACAAGTTCATAAAAATTGACATCTTTATGTATACCAAATTTATTAACTTTGATCAAGGCCTGAGAAATGAGAAATCTGCATGTGCCAAAAACTAGAAATGGTTGATAGGATACTGTTCATGAATCTGTTCCATCTGAAGAATTTCTATGAATGCTTGCTCTTTTGTTTGTTTCCACTTGCAAGATGGAAAGGCATTTTTATCTTCTTTTTTCTATGAAGTTACTTTTATGAAATCAATTGTTGACTTGGGTGTGGTATAAACCTATTCTAAATGGCTATATCTATTGAAATTGTGAAATATATATTTCTTGTGTGTTTTCCAGTAAACTTGTTTTCTAATTTGCATTGAATTGTATTTTACAGCAAATCCTGGAGGACACTGCCTTTGGGGTAAAATACCACTGGAGGTGCTCTGTACATCATGGGAGAAATCACCAAACCTGAGTTTGGGACACAGAGCTGAGGTCATGTTTACCATTGACATGTGGTCTTGCTTCTTGAAGGTGTGACATTGCATGCGTACTTTCGTCATTTATTTTCCTCAGATATAGTCTGATTAACTGCATAGTTGTTCTTTGTTAGACTATGTTAATTGCTTAGAATTTATATTTCCTTAAATGTGTGTTTGTGTGTTTCCTTGATTAGGCTGATTCTTAATTATACTGCTCCAAGGGCAATGCTTAATTTCATGCCTCTCAGATGCCAAGTTGTTTGTATGTTCATTTCATCTTTAGGACTGTAGTACTGGGTGTTACTGTTGTCCGTGGGCCAGTAATTGATTGGAACATTTAAAGATTGTAAAGGTGTCTGCTTGGCTTGCATAATAATAGCTTTGAGTGTTCATTTCACACACGATAGTGAGCAATCAGTCTTGTTGTTTGCATTATCACCTGTTTATTTTGAATTTGGCTGGTTCTTGCTGGTTGCATTTGTTTCTCTCAGTTGTCCTTATGAGTAATTTTAATCAGAAGATTGTACTGGTTGGTGAATGATTAAAGCTGCAGAACTGGCCCTAATATTATATTTCAGATGCCCACCCAAAGAAACTTTAATATTGTGAGTGCTATCATTAAAACAGTGCTCTTTTCTGCTCTAAATGTTATTGATACGATCCATTTTTTTTCCTGCTGCAGGTGAATTGTTTGAATGACAAGTGCATCTCAATCCAAAGTCCTAGTAATTCTTTAACAATGGTTCGTTTATCCTAGCTGTCTTCCAATTCATTCAAGATATATTAGCCTTGCACCCCTTCTCATTTCTGTTACATGTTTTATTTTTTTACTGGAAGTTTCTGTTACATGATAATTTTTGTACTACATTTATTCAAACATACTACAGCAGGTGCAACTCACAATTTCTGCAGAGGTGGTTGGGGCAAAAGAAAAATCTCTTTATAATTTATACACATACAGTGACATCTCGTCATCATTATCTCATATTATTCGGTAATCCTCATTTCAATTCCTATGATTAAATGTGGGTTGTTAATCTTGTTGTTATGGTCACTACAATGTTATGGTTTAATGCTTTACCTTTTCATGTTCCTGAAAAGTTGATCATGTTACAGATATTTTGATGTTATGACTTTATAATAACATGTTCTAAATGTTCTGCCCTTGTATTCTCCCTTTTGTCAGTTTAATACATTAAAAATAAATGCTGAAAGTTATTTGTTCTGTTTTCTTTTTGCACTACCCTTTTATTAGCTAAAGTGGAAATTATTTTGCAAGAATGCAAAGACATTATAAACAGTTTCTGCAATATAATCCCAATGCAAATTGTTATTATTTTTTTCTGAAATGAAAGAATGAAAATTATTATTGGATTGTAGTATCAAGTATCTTTTCTTCCATTACAAAGATTTTTCTGTTATTGTTTCTAGGTTGAGAGCAGGAAATGTGTTATTCAATTACAGATATTACAACAACAAATTGCAAAAGACTGAAGGTATGCTAGTGTTTATTACTTTTGTTTTTTTGGAGGTGGGGTTGTTTGAATTGCATGGATGCTACTTATCCTTCATTATGGATAAAGTGAGGCAGATATATGGACTGTGGCCTTGCTTAGTTTGGGGCTATAGTTGATCAATTTCTTTAATTAGGAACTAATTTCAACTTTTAAAGTTTTCACTGATTAACTAGTACAGTTGGGACCAAATTTTTTCTTACAGAAAGACGTACTTAAATAACTCACCTGTTAACAATTCATGTGTGTTTTTGGAAGTTTGCAGTAGTTATGGTTTCTATGGGCTAAAAGTGTTTGGTCTATTAACCGTTGACCTGTTATCACTTTTGTCTACAAAGTTTATTTTCTCCCAGTTTGGTCTAGAAACTTCAAAAAGTGTATCAAAATGGTCATCTATCAAAGTTTTGTTAGTTTTCTTAGAGACATCATATGGACATCACACGACTTGAGGAGTTATATTTTATCCTTTATCAATCTCAAGTCTCTTGCTTGCGTAACTTTCTTCTCACCCTGGACAATTTATAATGCCTCTTTCAATCCCATGATCACTGCTTTTGTTGATTGGAATGTAAGTTTCTTGGGCCATTAGAAAAACTTATGAAACTTAGACAGATAGAGCAATTTGATATGCTTTTCAAAGTTACTAGAACAACTTAGGAGACGATGAACTTTCTACATCAAAGTTGATAATGAGTAAATATTTAATAGATCAAACATTTTTTTTAGCCGTTTCTACCCTTGTTTATGCTACAAAGCTGATGAGTTGCTTCAATTTGCAGTTACGGAAGACTTCTCTTGTCCGTTCTGCTTGGTAAAATGTTCAAGTTTTAAGGTTGATCCTTATGCTGATGTTCCCCCACCTGTTTAATGTTTTGGACTAAGTAAATGTGAAATAATTATATTACACATTGGTGGAATGATGCTTCTCTCTATATTTGTTTTCCTTTTCTAACATTTCAATTATTATGCAGGGCCTGAGATATCATTTGCCCGCTTCACATGATCTCTTTAACTTTGAATTTTGGGTTGGTAAACTTCAGGAATCTATGTTGGAATTTTGGTGTTTCTTTTATATTGTAACTGCTAAACAAAAGCTTGCTTTGCAGGTAACCGAAGAGTATCAGGCTGTTAATGTATCTGTCAAAACTGATATTTTGAGATCTGAGGTCAGAATACCCTTCCTGAATTCCAATTTCTGACAAGTCTTGTGATGCTTTTTAGCAATAGGGTTCTTACTGCTTTGATTTAGTCTCTGCAAAAACTAGGAGATATGTGGTTAACATAAAATTTTCCATATTTGTTGATGTTAGAATTTATATGTCAATGTCCTCTGTTCAGATTTTAGCTGATGGAATTGATCCTAAGCAACAAACGTTCTTCTTTTGGTAAGTCTTCTAATTATGTTCGTAGTTAATGTACTTAGCTCCTTTGTCCTAATATTCTCATTATCATATTGATTAATGTGAATGCTGTGAGATGAAATCTGTGGAATACATACATACACAGCTCAAAGCAACGAAGACATAGAAGAGCTAACCTGGTGCAAAATGCAAGGCATGTGCATCCGCTTGGTTTAGAGTCGAAACTTTTGGACAAGCCTCATGGTTTGTATACTTTATTATTTGCAATAATTAGTTAATACTTCTGGACTTTTACTATATTCAACTGGATTGTTTAAGCTGATTCTATTGGACAATTTTCCTTCTGTTTTTGTTGGTTGTTGGTGCAGGCTTGACAAGTGGTGCTGGACAGTCATATTCTGATCTTGAACATGTACAATCGGAGCCTGGAAACAATCTTGCACCTCCTGCAATGCTGTCATTTGCAAAGACAAGAAAGTTATCAATAGAACGTCCTGATCAGAGGAAGTATGTCACAGTTGTTTTATTTTTTGGTTCGATTTATTCATTTTAAAGGATTTTGCAACTGGAAGAATGATGTACTTATTTTAACATGGACATTGTGTTGTCTACTTGTTTTTCTTCTGCATTAGTTTTTATCTTGTTGTTTACAGCAGTTCTTAGTATGGGATAGGAAGGCTAAAATTTTATGATGGTTTAGCTTGAGAGTGATTGGCCTGGGAATGGCAGCAAGCAGATTTTATTTGAGAGATGCACTCTATTTACATCAGTAGAGCATCACCAACCTTGATCTGAAATGGTTTTCTTGTTGTTCTCCTGGGAAAAACTGTCTGACTTCTCTTTTATCGCTGGTTTAAAAACAAGCATAATGGCTCCACTTGAGGATTTTGGTCTAGGAATCTTACAAAGCTGGTTTGGGATGGTACATGCATTCTCTGTCCTCTCTTTCTGCGTCAGTTGAGCACTCATAATCCTGGTCCAGGTGTAAATCTTGGAAGAGGGAGGACCAGAGGAAGAAGTTCCTATTGAATAGTTGATTTTTCAAGTTGATTTGTTTAGACAAGGCAGAAGATTACCTTTTTCCCTCTATTTTAAATTGCATCAGTGTCTTTAACCTAATTTGTCCCTTTTACGTTTTTCCATATTAATTTGTTCATTGACCAATTCATTGAAAGGTGAATGTGCATTTGATGTACCCATTCCTCTTTCTTGCAGCCGTAGTCTCCTTCAGAAGCGTCAGTTTTTCCATTCACACAGAGCACAGGTAACTGCATACTTCATTTATTTATTTATTTTGTGTGTGGATTTCATATTTCATGTCCCTATTGCTTTTGCTCTTAATGTTGGCATCAGTGATCTTGATGTGAATACTGAAACTGGAAAATGATAGCCAGGCATGTGGTCTAAGAATCATCACTGCAACTAAGTTTGGAACAAGAAGCTACCAACTTTCCTTTCTGAGAAATACTGGTTGATAAACTTAATAGGTCTTTAGTTAGTTTTTAACAAGAACTACCATAGCTTGTACCATGGCTGGAACTAATTTACAATTTTTGACTGGTAATGATTTAACTTGCATTATATACTCCATAAGTTCTAAAAGTGCATATGTTTCCTTGAAGCCAATGGCAATGGAGCAAGTAATGTCTGATCGGGATAGTGAGGATGAAGTTGATGATGATGTTGCTGATTTTGAAGATCGAAGGGTATGTTTGATGATCTTGATGTAGTCCCCTTCCTTTATCTTCTTTATGTATGAGTCAACATTTTTTGGAATAGGAAAGCTTTTTGGATTAGTGGCTAGCTATTGATGTGCCATTCGTGGGTGGTATCTAGAAGCATCGTTAGGAAGGCTTGCTGATATGATTCATCATGCATGAAAACTTGAAACATGTTAATCTTTTTGATGTTATCAATTATTGCTATGGAAAAGCTAAGGGTTTTCTTCTTGTGCATCCCGTAATATAGCTAATGAAATCTTGTATTTTCTTCTTCTTCTTCTTCTTCTTTTTTTTTTTTTGATAAAATTGAATCAATGTGCCATTCATTAGTTATGTAATTACATTCATGATTCAATAAAATGCGTGCTTGCTTGATTAATTTTTTGTATTTTTCTGGATGACCGAGTGACTCTCAACATTGATGATATTTGGTTTGTGTTGTTAAAAGCATGTTGATTAAATGGCACTTTGCTGCTGGCTTAACTTTGGGAGACTGCATTGACATATAGTCTAGTGTATTGCAGATGCTTGATGATTTTGTTGATGTGACAAAAGATGAGAAGCAAATGATGCACTTGTGGAACTCCTTTGTAAGAAAGCAGAGGTGATTTAACTTTTCCTTAAGCTTTTCTGTTTTCTCCTTTATGGATGTTTGTGTAGGACTTTTGTCTTCCTTGTTACTGCTGGTCAAAACCCTAAAATTTGTGACACTAGCTCACATGGTAGATGTGCCATAACCTGTAAGGTTGTGCCTTTGACTTCTATTTTACATTGAATGTTCTAAGCAAAGCCTTGACTTTTAGGTTAACTAAGGTAATTCCTTTTTGATTTTTGGCTGTTCTGTCTGTGTCTCTTCTCATTGACATGCCTTATGTTCTCTTGAGTTGGGCATTAGACTTGTCCATGCATATTATTGCTCATGATTTCTTTTTTTTTTCTTTTTATTTTTATTTTTTGTGTTTTTGTCATCTTGTTATGGTGCATGATGCATTAGTTCATGTTTATCGATAGCTTGCTTATGATTGACCACTAGCTGATTATTTTCTTGTAGTTATTTGTTTTTCCTTTCAATGGTCAGACTTCTTTGGGGTTTCTGTTTTAAAAGATTTGTTTTTCATTAATACAGGGTGCTAGCAGATGGTCACATCCCATGGGCATGTGAAGCATTTTCAAAATTGCATGGACGTGACCTTGTCAAAGCCCCAGCTCTTATATGGTAGCTCTCACTACTTTCTTATTTTGTTTTTAATTGGATTTTATATTCAAATCCTGGTCTCCAATTTTTCTTTCTTTGCATTGAAGATGTTTGAACCCCGGATCCTGAGTCCAAAATGTGGTTTTTTAGTTGGGTTTTAGACATCATTTTGGTTAGTTAGGCCCTTTACCCAAGCTTTTATTTTATATGTGTTGGACATTTGCTAAATATAGTTTGATAGCGTGATCTAAAAAAATAACCATAAAATCTGTTGTTTTTGGCACTTTGCTAACATCCTTAACATTCCTTCACCTGGTTTTTTATTTTTATCCTTTTTGTTATGTAGTCATTGTTATTCCCGAGCAACCTCACTATTTTTTTTCCTTTCCTCTGTCATGCGGTTCTCCATGAGGGGTTTCGTAGAATTGTTTGCTTCTAGTCAACTTCAGTAGATTTCTTTACTATCTTCCACTGTATTTCTCTTACCTTACGAACATGTTCTTTATTGTCTGATGCAGTGATGCTTGACTTGGTATTTTACTGTAATCTAAATGAAAAATACATTTTTTTGCACCAAGACAGAAGTTTCATATTGATTGATGATTTTCTGCTCCTTAATTTTCATGTCAGCATAATGTAACCAATGTATCATGTACATGAATACACTGGATTTGGCAGGTGTTGGAGATTATTTATGATTAAATTGTGGAATCACGGTCTCCTTGATGCACGAACAATGAACAATTGTAACATTATTCTTGAGCAATATCAAAAGGAGGACTCGGATCCCGTGAAATGCTAAAGGAAATCTGCCTTGGACGAAGGCCCGCTATTGAACCTTGACGGCCAAGAGCAAAGTTTTCTCCCTGGATCCCTATGATGGCTAGGGTCACCACTTTTCTGTATCATGCGCTGTATTATGTCATCTGTTGAATTCTAGTGTTGTATGTTGTACAATTTACTGTTATGATATAGGCAAATTTTTGTTCAGACATCTCCACAAGGCTCCATGACACGAGACATTTGTCCCAACTCCCAATTCTTGTTGCTCCTTGGGTACTTTTTGGTACATGTATGTGCTAATTTAAACACAGCTAATTTTTTGCCTCAGGCGGGCCAGCATACCATAATATGCCAATCCCCAAGACTTGATAAACAACAAAGGACCCACAAACCCCCAAAATCCCACAACAAATCCCAGAGCCGAACTCACAGAAAACCATACCCAATCCACTTCACCCCCATCACCATCTTCCCCATTATCCCCACCACTGGAAGGTGCACCATTTGTACTGCAGTTAGCTGTCACTGGAGGTCCACAGAGAGTGTTTCCGGCGAAGCACGATGCATTGAAACTTTGAAGCTGAGTACTTGATGGGATTTTGCCTGTCAAATTGTTATAAGCCAAGTCCAAGACACCCAAGAAAGTCAAGTGGGACATGCTCTGAGGAATCTTTCCGGAAAGCTGGTTGTATGACAAATCGAGGGATTCCAGTGACCCCATCTGGCCTATATTTGCCGGAATCATTCCTATCAAGTGATTTGTTGACAAATTCAACGATATCAACCCTACAAGACCAGTGATTTGTTCTGGGATCGTGCCGGATAGATTGTTGTCGGAGAGATCTATGCTTGTTACCAGACGCAGAGTGGTGCTATACTCCAGCAATATTCCCTTGATCATAAGCAATGTTGTCTCCAAGGATGATCCGAAGTGTCCAAAAGCATAAGAAATTGGTACACTTGAGTTCCGTTTAATGGACATTGCACTGAAATTCATGAAACACTTCGGGATGCTTCCTGATAGATTGTTATGTCCAAGGTCTAGAATTGTAAGGTAAGAAAGATCACAGATTGTTTCAGGAATCTGACCTTGCAATTTGTTCGAACCAAGGCTGATGATTATGATATTGGACAGGCTTTCACCAATCCAAGAAGGTACGTGTCCGGTGAAGGAATTCCCACTTAGGTCAAGAGCTAGGAGTTTTGTGCAGTTTTGCATCGACTCTGGTAGAACTCCGGAGAGGTTGTTCCGGCGAAGGTGGAGGAATTCAAGGAAGGATAAATACCCAATTGAGCTCGGAATGTTGCCGCTTAGGTTGTTATTTTTCATGTCAACAGAGAGCAAACTCGGCCAATTCATCCAACAATCAGGGATTTGTCCGGAGAGATGATTATCAGTGAGGTGAAGATTTTGCAGGCTCTTTGGTTCTTCCATCTTGTAACACAAGAAGTGGGAAATCGTTCCGGAAAATGAATTGTTGGAAAGATCTAGAGTTCCAACATTTGAGGACAAACAAGGTAGTGTACCTTGGAAGAGATTGGAGTTGAGATCAATGGATGCAGGGTAGCCTAGTGGAGGGGAAATATCAAAAACTTCAGGAGCTTTCCCCCGGATTTGGTTGTGAGAAATGTTCAGATTAAAGAACTGAGTGGACAGATTCCAGAACCAGTTCGGAATTGTATCATTAATCTCTCCCACGGATATGTCCAGAAACACGAAATCCTTTTGAAAACGAAGCCAGAGAGGAAATCTTGGGCCTAACTTCCATGATGAAAGATCTATAACACTGAGTTGAAAAGGCGGTACCCAATCGGAACTCACTTTCAAAACCAAATGGTTTCGGGAGGCGACGAGGATCCTCAACTTGGTGACATTAGTGAAATGAGCCTCAGAAACAACACCATGTAAAGAATTATCGTTAATCCATAATAGTTGCAGCTCCGGAAGCTGTCCAAACCATTCAGGAAATGTCTCATTGAGTAGATTCTGGGAGAGGTCGAGTGATCTCAATGATTTTAGTGATGTTAAGGACTCTGAGATAGGACCCGAGATCGAATTGTTGGTCAGGTACAGCTCGGTTAGGTTCTGGAACCGACTAAGTTGATTGCTCATGTGACCGAAGAGCTGGCACTGACTCAAATACAAGTGCTCAAGTCCACCAGAGATACATCCGGTCAGAGTCTGTAAGACTTCAGACAGGTCCTGCTTCAGAGTGACACCAGAAAGGTATAATTTTCTCAAGCTGCAAAGCTTTGCCAAGGAACTTGGCAATGGTCCTTCAACTTGAGTGGATGCGACATCAAGGCTTTCGAGTGAGGTCAGATTCACAATGGCATCCGAGATTGTACCTTGTAAGGAATTGTCGGCCAGGCTGAGGTACTCAAGATGGCTGAAACTGTACAGCCAATCAGGAATGGTCGAATTGAATGAGTTTGATTCTAAGCTAAGAAATGTAAGAGAAGTACTCAGGTTTCTAAGACCATCCGGGATTCCGCCTCCGAAATTATTGTGACTAAGATCAAGATAAACCAGAGAATCGAGATGGAAAATCCAAGAAGGAACAAAAGGGTTGCCGCCTCCGAAATTATTGTGACTAAGATCAAGATAAACCAGAGAACTGAGATGGAAAATCCAAGAAGGAACAAAAGGGTTGCTGAATCCATTCCCGGAGAGATCTAGAATTTCCAGAGAGGAAAAATTGACATTTGGTAACGGAGGTATAAGACCACGTTGACTAGCAGACAGCCGCAATTCTACCAAAGAAGGGAGTTCGTTGGTTACCTGCAACCAATTCGAGGCTTTGCTAAGATCTGTAAGGCTCAAATCCAGGTGTTGCAGGTTTCGAATATTGGAGAGCCATTGAAGATTGTCTGAGAACAGAGATGGCAAAAGACCATGGAGATCCAGGTACTGGAGATTCGTCAGGTTTCCAAGCTCAGGAGGAATAAGTCCTCCAAAGCCAGAAACAGAGAGATTCAGGTATTGTAGATTCTTTAAAGAACCCAGGAATTTGGGAATCTCACCTTCAAAATCACTCCCACTTAAATCCAAGTACCGGAGGTGCTTCAGATTGAGCAATGAGGGATTCATTTCGCCACCAAATCTTGACCTCTCAAAAACCTTTCCAGGAAAGATGAGATCTTCATTGGAATCATGGGGGTTTCCGAGACGGAGCTCCACTACGCGGCCAGTTCTGTTATGGCAGACGACTCCAGTCCATTGGCAGCAATCCGGACCGGCAGTCCATGTGGCAAGTCGATTTGAGGGGTCTGTTAGTCCTTGCTTGAATGTCAGAAGTGCTTGTTTCTCCTCCTTGTGGCAAGCAGCATTGGAAATTGCGGCGCATAAGGATGAAACAATAATGACTGCAATGATTAGTAACTCTGTTAAGACAGTAGTTCCAATCCTGTCGGAACCACCCATGTTCTTGTAATAATCTTACAGGGAATTAGGAAGGCAGAGATATTCTGGTGAGGTGAGTGAGGACTGAGAAGTAAGAGCCAAGATGACCTTATATTACTGGTAAGAGTATTAATGGTTACATGAATTTCTTCACAAGTGCAGTTAGTCAACAATTGTATGATAATATATACTGATGGTGCTGAGA